TTCATTCAAACAATAATAGATTTATTAGGTTTGGTACTTTATTTAAATTAAATAAGATTTAATGAGTAAAGTAATTATTGTTAAAGAAAAAGAAATTTAATTAGATTGGTACGTTCATTTTATTAGAAAGAGATTTAATTCAGTGAGTACTTTCATTAAAATTAAAAGATATTTGAAGCGATAAGTACTTTAATTAAAATGAAAAGAAATTTAATGTGTAGAGAATTTTTATTTAAATAGAAAGGGTTTTGATGAGTGAAGTATTTTTATCAAAATTGAAAGATGTTGGTAAGTTAGGTACTCTTACTTAAATAGAAAAAGATTTGATGTGTTAGGTTTTTTCAATAAAACGGAAAGGATTTGTTGTATTTAGTACTTTCGTTCAAATAAAAAAAGATTTAATGAGTTTAGTACTATCATTTAAATGAAAAGAGATATAATGTTTATAGTACTTTCGTTCAAATAGAAAGAGATTTAATAAGTCGTGTACTTTTATTTAAATGGAAAGAGATTTAAAAAGATAAGTACTTTAATTAAAATGGAAAGAGATTTGATATGATTAGTACTTTTTTTGATGCGCCCGATACATTTATCAGTATTCCAGTAGATTGTAGTAAATCGTAAAATCTCCTCACGGTTGATATTGAGAATTTTTATTAATGGGAGGGGCGATAAGAAAAGAAAACTCAATAACAAATATATTTGAGCCTAGTCAGTACAAAGAAGTACGCTTCATTTAGCTCGTCAGGGAAAAGTCTTTCAGCATAAAAACCGTGGTTGATACGTTGACAAAGAATTCGTACAAATAAGGATAATTATTGCAACGTGCAGGACCGCCTTTGTTCATTTGTCGCTAGCAAAACTTAAATTATGTAGTATTGCGCAATAGAAATAGTTCTATTTGAAGTAGTTCTTGCAAGTCTCAGCTTTTATACGTTAGATGAATCTCGAGCGATGAATCACGCGTGATGAGTAACGAGTAATGATAGGCGCATGAACGCGCTGGGCTTTATACAAAAAAGCGATGCCATGCTGGACCAATCACCGATAAGCCTGAGGATAACGCTGCTGTCGATACGTGTGATTAGCGTAATATATGTAGTGGGAGAACACAGGCTAGAAGAAAAAAGGAGCGCTTGCAAACATGTTGTCTCTACCGTAGTTACCACCAAAAAAAAACGATACTGCTTTGTCGCACGTGTTTTACGCCTTGGCAGGGCTGTACACGCCCCAGCGCTTCGCCCTGCTCACTCGTTGCGTAGGATACGCAACATACCACTTCCTGGAACAGGCATTTTTCATAATTTAAAAAAAATGCACACACCTAAATACAAATTATAAACTATATACATACTGCTAACCGCATATTACAGTACATATTCAGTAATTGACGCTACTAAATTACAAAAAGAAATTTTTTTTTTATAAAACGCTTGGCAAAGGAGAAAGACGATTAATACCGCGGTTTACAAGACCGTTGGCAGTTTTTACTCTCGCTACGCGTGCTATACTGTCGGCTCCTTTATGTACTTGCGCGACACGTCCTAATAGCTTTTTAATTAGGGTGGAATTATCTTCTTGCAGGATGACCAAAGTACCCAAGCTTATTTCATATGCCGTGCCTCTTGGCAATTTTTACGGACTGTCTGCTTGTTCAAACATTCTTTATTTCATCGGTTCCAAAAAAGCTTTCTAATCTGCTGTACGTGCTGCTATTGCGAAAGACGCCCAGAAAGTATATCCCTGTATTCGTCCTCTGGCAAACTCGTTAACGAATTTCCAATTAAAAAATGTCCAGTCGTAACTGCGAGCAAATCATTCGGGTCATTAGACAGGGGCGTGATAGGAAACGAGTTAAGAACTGCCTATATCTCGAGGACGTATGGTAATATCGCCTCGTAAGATACCAATGTCTCGCCTATAATTCGAATTAAATGATATTTAAACGATTTTACGGCTGCCTCTTATACACCTCTAAAATGGGGAAACGTGTTGGGATGAAATGCTACTTGATCCCATCATTTACCAAACTTCGCGATCCGCGTGATTCTAGTTCGTTCGCCGCACCTACGAAATTAGTAGCGTTGCCGAAATATATGTCCGAAAATTTTCCACGGCGTGCTAAAAATCTACGCAAAGCTGCTAAAAATAATTTAGTCGTTAGATCATTCACGAGTTCTAAATGAACGGCCTTTATGCTAAAGCAGACAAGTACCGCCACATATATTTTAGCGCGACCTCAGTTCCGATGTGGCTTTTCCTTGATGAATAACGTTGGGCAGAAGTCTACGCCAGTATGGAGAAACGGACGATTTGGTAGAAGACGACTTGCAGATAGATCACTCATCGGATATTGCGGCGTAGCGGGTTTTCAACGTCGACAAGTAATGCATTTATATATTACGCGTTTAACGCTGCTTCACCCATTTATTGGCTAAAACGATTCGCGAAGTGCGTTTAAAGTAACTTGCGTACGAACCCTATTTGATAGTGCTTTTCGTGTATTATCGCGTTTGTAAGTGTATGGTCTTTTGGTAATAATGCGGGATGCCTTTGCTCGTATGGCAAGTTGCTCCTTGCCAATCTACCTCCAACTTTTAATATTCCTAAATTGTCTACAAACGGGCTAAGTACAGAGAATGATGCGCAAACCTCTTTTCCCGACTTGATCAATTTGATGATCTCAGGAAATGCTTCTTCCTGTATCAATCTAATCGAGATAACTTTCGCGCCTTTCTATTCGTCTACTGTTAACTCACTTATTCTTCTTTTCTTTTTTAAATTGCGCGAGTTACGCGCGAATCTAGCGCAATACGCGATAAGGCGCTTTAATTTGACGAACGAGGGGTGCCGCCTAAATAGTTCAAATGGAGTAGCTATCTTTGCGTAAGTTTTAATCTTTTTGTTTTCCGGGATTTCAATTGGTTTTAATCTACTATGAAGTTAACTTGATTCCGGCTTGATAAGCCATGCAAGACCAGACTTTTAAAGCTTACTTTTACGGAGTTCGGCAGGTGTAACGTCGCAAAAAAATAAATTTGCGGGGTTATGCTTGGACGATACATGACGCCACAGCTCGCGAGCTTTGCTTTCTTGAATTTCAGCTACGCGATGTTCTACGTAGGTTTAAATAGTGTAAGGCGGAGTTTTCAACCAATGCAAAAGTACCGTGGAATCCGCCAAAAATACTGTACAGCAGAAGATCATTTCTACGCAAAGCGTTTTTAGTTGCCTTAAAGAGTCGCGAGAGTATCAAGGCGCCGCATACTTCTAGGCGCGGAACTGATTGCATTTTAAGCAGCGCTACCTTTATTTTGCGCAGACTAATCGTAACGTGCGATTTTTTCCCAACGTTTTAACATAAATACACGCGTTGTATGCCCTTTCGCTCGCGTCACAAAAACAGTGCATTCCAGTTCTTCTCTATCACCTGCCACGTTGCGCGCGAACCTTATCTCCTTAAGCGTGTGAAGATTTTGGCGGAACTCTTGCCATATTTTATAAATATCGGCTGGGACATTTTCGTCCCACGTTGACTTAAATTGCTATAACCGTTGCATCATCATTTTTGCGTTGATTACTACCGGTCCTAATAAACCTAGCAGGTCAATTTCCTGCGAAATTTTGGACAATATAACGCGCTGAGTAACTTTCGATTGATAATGTCGTAAGACTAGTATGCTTTAGTACAGCATGATGCGGTAAATAGAATCTAACTTCGTGTAGTCCCACTTCTATCGTTGTCATGTGTCCTAGTTCTTTATATTCGGATAAGAATTTATTGTATTCATTTCTAATTTCCGGCTTGCGCGATAATGATCGCTCTAAGGCGTAAATTCTTCGTAACGCGCTCGTATACGAAACTCCTAACTTATTTTCTTCCTTAAAATGCAGGCTCACTATATATCTGCCAGTATCATCCCGTCGCGTGTTGTTTTTATAATGTGATTCGCAAAAATTTTCTTCGTACGACCCAATAATACTCTCAGCTGCTTCTTCAATCTTCAAAAATTTTTCCCATTGTTAGTTTAAATCTACCGTGGCCGTGTGGCAATTAACGTTCTGCGGAGGACGCGTGCTCCTGTGCTTATAATGAGCAATCCTAGTACAGTTCCTTGTGCTATTAAATTTTAATTTAACCTTACGATCTGTCCTGCACGCAAAAGTGAAGAAAAAATTTCGACACCGAGAATCGCGTCGATATTCGCGGGCTCACAAAACTTGGGATCTGCCAATTGGATCCCTGCGGGTATAGTCAATTCTTCTCGTGAATTTCGTGGCGAAGGATACCTATTCGTTACAGTGAGTAATAATAATAATTGTATTTCTACCGCATAATTTTCTGCTTGCGATTTTAACGTTGCTAAGATTGCCTTTTTGACTCTAGTTTCCGTTTCGTTTTCGGCAGAAATGGGCACGTTCGCGTCCCGTTTAGCTATTCGCAGAAGATTCGCGAACCGGATCGTTAAGAAATGTGCTTCGGAACCCGAATCAAGGAGCACACGACACTCGTGCGGCCTGCTTTCGTGATATAGCAAGTGCACTACTGCAGTAAGTAACAGCGAGGGTGTTTGCGAGTGATCGAGCACTACATGTGCATTCTGCAGCGCCGATTCTGTCCGAACGCAAAAACTCGTGATGCCCGTTGTTGCACATTCTGTAACGACCTCGTTCACATGTAACAACTCATGATGCCTGCTCTTGCACATTCTGCAGCAGTCATCCTTAATACATGTGTAGTCGCGGTGACCAGCTTGTAAACAATTACAACACAAATTATCGTTAACCACGATTCTTCTGCGCTCCTCGGGCTCTGCTCTCAGTAGCTGCCCACACTCCGATGATTTATTCCTCTCGCGACATATGCCACACGAAACAGTCGCGCTTGTGGAATACGCTGGAACTTGTCATCGGTCGAAACTTTGCGGCAAATTTCGCAGAGAATTAAAACGCCGTTCGTTACGCATCAAGGTCTTTGAACGAAAATTTCTCTCGGGTCCTAACGGCGCGTTCCTTCTGCTATTGTTAATCCTTTTAGAATGTTTTGTTGGCTTGGAACTTACTAGCGCATTTGGCAGATCGCGCGAGAATATCATAAATTCGTTTACCGTTGGTAAAGCATCTCAGGTGTACTGTTGTTCTCATTGAAGACGTGTTGCTGGATACACTCGCGAAAGATGTGGAGCTATACAAAATTGATCGACAAACACTTTTTTAGTCGCTACTAATGCCCTATAATTTGCATTCAGCGTGTTAGACGCGGCAATTAAAGACGAGAGAAATTCACTGTCAATCGGAGGACCTACTAAAATAGCTCGCACGTGCTTTTTTATAAATAATAACGGATTGTTATAGCACTCGACTTAGGTCTTCCACGCAATTAAATAATTATCCGCGGTAATTTCTAAAACTCATATTTTCTCCGCGGCGGGTCCAGATAAGCATGATTTTCAATATGCATACTTTTGTATATCTCGAAGCGCAGGATTATCTTTTATCACCGATTAAAACGTGTCCGCGATACTCGGCGATTTTTCATGTTGCCCGTCAAAATGAGGGTATTGTACTGTCGGTATTCTGTAAATGCTATCTACAGATGGACTGCTTACTGTAGTTCTAACTGGAGAGGACAGACTCGTAATGAATGAATTTGTGTATTGAGTGGCTACTGATTCATCTCTATTAATGATCAACTCCGCCTCCGCCTTTGCATCGATGACTGGCTCGACATGATTGTGAGTTTTGTCAACCAGCAATCCCATCGCTTAACCAGAGGTTTTCTCTATCCACTTCTCTAATATTGCTACAATCTTTTTAACTTTGGAAGTTCTAAGCATTAATTTCCTTATATCGCGCGGGCTAGAATGATCTATCTCGCTCACCGCCTTTTGCAATTGCGCGAATTTTTTCTTTACATACTCGAATCTCCGTAAAACGCGCTCGACATCACCACGTGTTCTACTCAAACAAAGCATTTTAACGACAGAAAGCGAAGTTAAAAAGAGAAAAAAGGGTAAAAACACGACTTCAAAGAATTATTAAGCAACAGAAATTACAAAACTCACGTAAATCCCCAAAATAGCATGTCCCGTGCAGCGTTTTTACGCACTAGAACAATAGAAGCTTTTTAGCTTGTAGTGATAACGCAATACCTCGTATGTTGCTCGATCGGAAGCCTTCAGTTGCCTCTTTCTCCTCTGTTAAAGAAGACTGTATGCACAATAGACGCCAGAAAAAGAGTGGGAAGAAAGCTCCTGATCCGTATCAAAGGACAAAAAATGTTGACGCGACCGATTCCTTAATCGGTACTCAAGTTGATTGTAGTGAATCGAAGAATGCCCTTACATATAATATCAAGATTTTTTATTAATGGGAAGGACGATAGAAAAATAAGACACAGTTACAAATATATATGAGCTCACTCAGTACTAAAAAGTACGCTWTATTTTGCTCGTCAGGAAAAAGCCTCTTAGCATAAAAAGCCTGGCTGAAACGATGTCGAAGAATCTGTACAAATCAGGATAATTTTGGTTAAGTGCAGAACCGCTTTTGTCTCTTGTCGCTGGCCGAACCTGAATGATGTAGTATTTCGCAATACAAATAGTTCACCTCAAAGTAGTTTTTGCAAGTGTTAGCATTTTTACGTTAGATGAATCTCGGGCTATGAATCACGCGTGATGAATCACGAGTACTGATAGGCGCAACAACGCGCTGGGCTATATACAAAAGAGCGATGCTATGCTAGACCAATAACATATAAGCCTGAGGATAACGCGGTTGGTAATACATGTGATTAGCGTAATAATTGTCATAAAAAGACGCGAGCTATAAGAAAAAATGAGCCTTTGCAAACATCTTGACGCTACCGTAGTTACCATCAAAAACAACGATACTGCTTTGTTGGACGTGTATTACGCCTTAGCAGGGCCGTACACGCCCTGGCGCTCCGCCCTACTTACTCGTTGCACAGAATACGCCATAACTTTTATTAAAATAGAAAAAGATTTTATGAGTTAAGTACTTGCATTCAAATAGAAAAAGAATTAAAGAGTTTTAGGCTTTTGTTTAAATAGAATAAGATTTAAAGAATAAAGTACTTTAATTTAAATAGAAAAAGATTTGATTTGTTACAAACCTATATTAAAATAGAAAGAGATTTGATATATTAAGTACTTTCATTCAAATGAAAGGAAATTGTATATGTTAAGTGTTTTCATAAAAATAAGAAAAGATTTGATAAATCGTGTACTTTTATTAAAATAGAAATGGATTTGATAAGTAGAGTACTCAAATTTAAATAAAATAAGATTTGATAAGCTTAGTACTTTTATTTAATTAGAAAAATATTTCTTGATTCACGTACTTATATTCAAACAGAAAAAGATTTGATAAGTTAAATACTTTCGTTAAAATGAAAAAAGATTTAAGGAATTGAGTAATTTCAATCAAATAAAAAGAGTTTTGATGAGTTAGTTACATTCATTCCAATAAAAAGAGATTTATTTTGTTAGGTACTGCTATTAAAATAGGAAGAGATTTGATGAGTTATGGCTTTGATTCTAATGGAAAAAGATTTAATACGTTTGCTACTTTTACCTAAATGGAAGGTGATTTGATAAATTAAGTGCTTTTATTCATATAGAAAAAGATTTGATTTATTGGGTTTTTTAATTCAAATCAAAAAAGATTTAATAAATTGAGTACTTTTATTCAAATAAAGATAGATTTAATGAGTTAATTACTTTTATTCAATTAAAAAGTTATTTGATAAGTTTAGTAGTTTCATTAAAATAGAAAGGGATTTGATAAGTTGAGTACTTTCATTGGCATAAAAAGAGATTTGAGGAGTTATGTACTGTTATTTATATAGAAAGAGATTTGATGAGTAAGGTATTTTTATTTAAATGAGATAAAATTTATTAGTTAGGTACTCTAATTTAATTTAAAAAAGATTTAATAAGTTTAATACATTTATTCAAACTTAAAAAGAATTGAAGAGTTAAGAACTTTTATTTCAATGTAAATAAAATAAATGAAATGAGAACTTTTATTAAAGTTGAAAAAAATTTTATGTACTAAGCACTTCTATCTAAATAGAAAGAGATTTAATAAGTTAGGTACTTTCATTCAAAAAACAAAATCGATAAGTAGACTATTTTAATTTTTATAAAAAGAGATTTAATAAAAGAAGTACTTTTATTTAAATAGAAAGAGATTTGACGAGTTAGGTTCTCACAATTAAATAGATAGAGATTTGATGAGTTGCGCACTTTTATTCAAATAAATAGAGATTTAATAAGCTAGGTAGTTTTATTAAAATAGAAAGAAATTTGATGAGTTAGGTACTTCCAATTAAAAAAAAAAGATTTAAAAAAGTGAGTACTCTATATTAAATGAGAAGAGATTTGATGAGTTAGGTACTTTATTCAAATAAAAAGAGATTTGTGTAGATAGGTCCTTTTATTTAAATAGAAAAAGATTTATTAAGTTAAGTACTTTCATTTAAATGGAAAGAGATTTGATAAGTTAAGTACTTTCATTTAAATAGAAAGAGATTTGATAAGTTGAGTACTTTCATTTAAATAGAAAGAGATTTAATAAGTTGAGTACTTTCATTTAAATAGAAAGAGATTTGATGAGTTAAGTACTTTTATTTAAATAAAAAAAGATTTTATAAGGTGAGTACTATAATTCAAATAAAAAGAGGTTTATTAAGTTAAGTACTTTAATTTAAATTGAAAAGAATTTGATTTAATTGTTTAAGTACTTCTATTTATTACAATAAATTTTTATGCGTTACGTACTTGCATTCAATTGGAACGAGATTTGATGCGTTAAGTAATTTTTTTTAAATAGAATAAGATTTGTTGAGTTAAGTAATTTCATAGAAATAAAAAAAGACTTGATTAGATATGTTATTTTATTTGTAAAGGAAAAGATTTGATGCGTTTAGTACTTTCATTCAAATAGAAATAGATATAATAAGTAAAGTACATTACTTACTAAAAAAAAACAGATTTAATAAGTTGAGCAATTTTATTTAAAATGAAAGAGACTTGAAAAGTTAAGCACGTATAGTAAAGTGAAAATATATTTAAAATGTTTGGTACTTTTATTCAAATGCAAATAATTCCATGAGCTAAGTACATCCATTTAAATAGATTTTTTTGTTAATTTACTTTTATTTAAATAAAAAAAGATTTGTTGCGTTAAGTACTTTCATTTATATAGAAAGAGATTTTATTAGTTGGGTACTTTCAATAAAATAGAAAGAGATTTGATGAGTTTAGTATTTTCAGTTAAATGGAAAAAGATTTGACTTGTTAGATACTTTTGTCCAAATAAAAACAGTTTTGATGAGTTGGGTACGCTTATTTTAATAAAAAAAGATTTATAAAATAAGAAGTTTCAATCAAATAAAAAAAGACTTAAAGTGTTAGATACTTTCATTTAAATTTAAAAAAAGGTTATATTTGTCGGGTAGTTTAATTCAAATAAATAAAAATTTTGTATGCTAAGTACTTTCACTTAAATAAAAAGAGATGTAAGAAATGGAGTACTTTCAATCTAAGGAAAAGAGATTTGACAAGTTAAGTACTTTAATTAAAAAAGAAAAAGATTTGATGCGTGGAGTAGTTTTATTGTAATAAAAAAAAATTTTATAAATTGAGTACTTTAATTCCTGTAGTAGGAGATATGAATAGTTGAA